AGCTGAAGTCCTGAGCGAAGAGCCCATCCTGAAGTGGTACAAGGATGCACACATGGCCAAGGGGAAGAGCGTCTTCCTGGAGCAGATGAAGAAGTTCGTGGAGTGGCTCAAGAACGCGGAGGAAGAGTCCGAGTCTGACGCTGAAGACGGGGACTGAGTTTCGAGCCTGCATCCTCAGTAAAGCGAGCATGGTGTAGCTAACTGTGTCTCATGTGTCCTGGTTCGTACATCTTCCTACCTCCCCATATCGAGCATGATAGAGAAGGGCTTTCATGGCAGATTTCATTTTTCCTGTTTCTATGGTTCCTGGAGATGTTGAGTTCAGTTCCTAAAACCATGTTCTAAGTATTACAGGAGCTATAAATTTGAATCTAATGTTGCATTAGTCTTTTTAGTTCCCTCCTACCTCTTGTATTTTCTACTGTAATAATGTAATTTAAGGCCTTCCACAATGAATAGTTCACACTATTCCCTGGGTTTTCTATATATAAACAGTTTTCAAGGTATGATTTGGTTAAAAATAATTTGTTACAAAAATTCTGTTTGCAAATTAAACTGTAAAAGTATCCAAATTCTCAGAAGCCAGTGGTTTGTGTGGTAATTCGGTTGCCCAGAGAGCCCTGCTCATCAACAGGCCTCCCCGTGGTTTTGGCTGCTCCTGAGTCCCGAGTACCTGGACCACTGCTTGCATGTTAGCTTTTTCTGACTGCCTTAGCCCTGGATGTCTTCAGTTCAGTTGGTTACTGTCTGCTTTTCATCCTTAATGAAGCCATGGAGAACAGACCTGGGAAGTTCTGGAGTCAGGTGGTGGGGAGTCCTTTTCCTACCGAGAAATCCTGCAGTCAGCGGGTGGGTTTTCTTTCCATGCATCCCTTTTCAGTGTCCCTTAGAAAAGTCTGGCCATTTAAGTGTCTCAGTCTCAGAGTGCACTTAACCTGACAGCAGAGAACTTCTGAAAGGCATGTGTTGAAGGACGTGGCCATCACTAGGCCAGAGACCCTGGGCAGAGGCAAGGTCGGCCTGTCCTGGGCGCCCGCAGCCCTTCTCTGTCCCAGCCCTGTGCACTCACTGGGACTCCCACCTCCGGCTGGAGTGTTCCTCACCTGCCATGTTTAATTGCCATGAGCCAAAGGCCTCCAGGCAGTGGATTCTGGATGATTTTAATGTCTACCTTTTCATTTTCCTCTGTTCTTTCTGCTGCCCCTCTGTGTATGGTCATGGCATTGTGGTGACAGTGACCAGTGTGAAGGGGCCCTGGCCAAAATCCAACCCAGAACAGTACCACCAGAGACAGAGTGGAAGGGGCCCCTTTCGAAGGTGCTGTTCTCCTCAGCCAAGACAGTGGCATTTAAAGCTCACCTTGACAGAGGAACATGTGATGTAATTGAAAATAAAGGTCCCAGGACCTGGAGAGCATTAGGACTGATCACATTGTGAGTGGAATGAAGTTGTTCACTGAGTAACTTGGATTAAGTTTTCCTGCACCGCAAAAGTGTATTCACTATATTTCTACATCGTGCTCTGCTTTCCTTTGTAATTTGTAGCCCTCAAAAGACTTTTTTTAAAAAATAAAGTCCATCCTTACACTCAAAAAAAATAAAAAAATAAAACAAATAAAAAGAATTTATGCATTTGCTGTTTTGGAAATATTTTAAGATTTTGTTGAAAAAAATATATCATGCCCTCAAATGCTGAAATAGCTCGAAGATAATAAATAAATAATAATAAATAAGATAAATACCAAAATCACATATATTCTAAAGATGAGGAATTTTTAAAATTCCCTTTTAAAACATGTTTATAGTTTTTATAGTCCTGAGTTTCTGAGTGTTTTATTCTAATCTATGACTTTTCTTTCTCAGAATATCATATTGTGCGGGGCCGGGAATTTGGCTCAGCGGTAGAATGCTTGTCTAGCAAGCTGGAAGCCCTGGGTTCAGTCCTCAGCACCAAAAACAAAAAGTAAACCTCCTGTAGAATATCAGATTGTGATGTGACAGAATTAGGCACTGCCAAGAAGTATCTTCAATATAAGTCCTTGTCTTTTTTTTTTTTTTTTTTTTTTTTAGGGAAGGGTCTACAGGGTGTTCAGAGTCTCACTACTAGATCAGACTCATAGTGATCTGCCTGTTTATAGCCTCCCAAGAGCTGGGATTACAGGCATGCGCCACCGCACCCAGTCTCAATTGTCATCTCAGCTAGCCCTGGGGGTTGGGGCCAGCATGGCAGGCCTGGGGATCGAACCCCCAGCCTCTGCGCCTACTTTGTAGGTTCTTTATTTTATTTTATTTATTTATTTTGGCGAAACTGGGGATTGAACTCAGACCCTTGGTCATGCCAGGGAAGACCTTATTCCACAGAGCCATCTCCCCAGCCCCTTGTAGGTACTTTATTCCACTGAGCTATTTGGCCAGCCCTTAAGTTATTGTCTTAAGTCTTTGAGATACTGAGGTTAAGGCCCTGATGGGCTCTTTAAAAAAAATCCAGAAGGTCGCTGGGTAGAGGCAGAGACTGGACAAAAAGGATTCTTCCATTTGAGCGGTTTTTCAGTAATTTATGTGCTGAAGAAGGTTAATAGACGTAAAACTCTAAACACAAGGTCCATATTTGACCTAATTTACAGGAACTAAATGTTTCCAAAAGAGTTAGCTCAAGAATATGAACAGATCTGAGTCACTGCGATAGCTACTGCTGGCTGGTACCCCTGTGAGCTGCACAGTGGTTTCATTTAATCAATTCCCTATCGACATGCGGATTGCTCCCGAACTTGTTTGTACAAAGAATGCTGCATAAATAACCTTGCACATGTTACTTCAAGTCCATTCTGTAATTCACATTTTATTCACAGAAGTGGGAGCTCTGGACCAAATTAATTATAAATACAGCTGCATTTTTGCTAGATACTGTCGCCTTGCCCTCCCCCTCCCGTTACTGCTTCAGTGTCTTTAGCTTCATGTAAAACTCCTGGGTATTGCTGTGTCCATGTCCTCACTGCTCCCAGAGGGCCTCTGGGGCTCTGGGGCTTCTCAAGGCAATGACTCAAGTCACCTCTGGGAAGCCCAGGGGGACCTGGCCACTAATGTGATGCAGATGACGCTGTCTTCCTTTTCTTTCTGTTGCCCTCTTTCTCTATCAGCATCACTCTCTCAGGCCCCTGTCAGGCCCCAGAGGCCACTCCCCAAGGAACCCTGGCAATGCCCCATCCATCCCCATTCTCTCTTGTATCTTAGAAAGATCTCATTTCACCAAATATCATCTCCTATATCCCCCTGAGGCTTTCTCTGAAGAGTTATAAATAATCCCAGACAAAGTTTTAATGACATCATGCATTACTGAATGGGGATCTCAGTTAAACACTGCCTTACCCAAAGGATTAACGGTAATGGTGGAAATTTCCAGAGCTGCGGCTGCCCTAGTGAGGAAGTCTGCAGGGAGCTTTTGCTCTCCCTCCATGCCCCACTTTGAAGGCGAAGTGCTGAGCATGCGCTCGCCTACCCACTGTCTCTGACCACACCTGAGCAGTGGATGCGTCGCTTCTCTCCATACTCTCCATGCCTGTGAAAATTTCCTGGATTGTCAAGCCTGGTAAGAGAAACTTGGGCTGGTACCTGATCGAAGATTGATCCCTGTGCTCTTTTTTGAATAATTCACCGCAGCCCTATAAGGAGACTTGTGTATCTTCCAGGAAGTTGACCTTATTGAGAGTTTAGACATGGTGACTGGTTAATCAGCAAATAATTGTGGAGCGCCCAACCAATCAAGCCAAGAGCCAGGAGCCCACAAATAAATTCATTTCTTTTTTTGCTACCCTCACACCCCACTGCCGACTTCCTCCTGTCTCTACCAGCCAGGGAGGTCTAGAGACAGGCTGAGGGCTCCTCTGGGGCATGTGCCTACAGACTGAGCCCTTCAACGGCTCTGAGATACAGCCAGTTGGGTGACACACCCCTGTGTTGGTTCTCTGTCCTTTCCAACTTCACTATTCTGATGGAGTAATGATGCACATGCCCTGTATCTTACGTTTTGCTTTTTGAAGAAATCCATGTAAGACATAAAATAAAAAAGGAGTGAAAGGAGCTAGACTCTTCGATTCTACTTGAAAGAAGCTGATAGGAAGACAGGTGGAATCAGCTCTGAGGACACAGGTCAGGAAGGTTCCTTAGGCTGGGCTGCATCAATAAAACTGTGTTGAAAACAGAAGAAAAAACTCAAATAGTAGAAAAAAACCACAAACATAGTCAGAAGAAATATAACAGAAAAATTTCCAAATTATATTTATAGGCAAAAATTCTTGAAATTAAAGAAAATTAGAAACAAATAGAAAAATAGGTAAGAGACATGATCAGAGGGTTCAGAGAAAAAACAACAAACCTAAAATACATGACAAAATACTCAACTTCACTCATAATAAAAGAAATGCAAAATACAGCTCCACCGAGATACCATTTTTTGTTTGTCTACTGGCAAGAATTCAAGGTTTGCAAGCGTACTCTGTTGGGGAGCTTGTGGGGAGGGAGGCAGTCTTATTCACTGCTGCAGAAGTACAAACTATTCCAGCTCTGGTGGAGAGGAATTTGGTAATGTAACATCTACAAAAGGCAAATGCATTTGTGGTTGGACCCAGCAATTCCACTTCTAAGAAGCAAATGTATATAACATCTAAACAGATTTGAAATTGTATTTCCAAGGTTATGCACTGAGCATTATTTGTACAAAAATAAAGGTCTGGGAGCAGTTCACACTGGGGAACGGACCGAACAAAGCACTGTACAGCCACCCAAGAGGTATTATATAGGCAAGTTTTTAAGAGTATGAGGAGAGTTCTGTTACTTTTCTGTGGCTGCCACAACAACATAATACAAAGTTCATGGCTTACAGTGACAGGATATATGTGCTCACAGTTTGGAAACCAGAAGTCCCCGCTGGGCGTGGTGGCACATGCTTGTAATCTAAGCACTCAGGAGGCTGAGGCAGGAGGATCTCGGTAAGTTTGAGGCCAGCCTGGGCTACATAACTGAGTTCCACAGCAGCCTGAACTGCATACTGAAACCCTGATTTCAAAGAAATAAACATCAGGGCTTGTTGTTTCTAGAGGCCTTGAGAAAGAAACTATTTTACATTTTCCTGCTGGTTTCTGGTGGCTGCCCACACTATTTGGCATTCTTTCAATCTAATCTGTCTCCATCTTTACCTGGACTCCCTCCCTGTTGTAAGTCTCCCTTTCTTTTCTCTTATAAGGCATTTACCATTGGATTTAGGGCTTACCATTCTTTTGATCTAATCTGTCTCC